TACAGCATGAAAATAGACCATTCAGTCCAACTCATCCATGCTGACTAAGCTTCCCAAACTGAACTAATCATATTTGCCTGTGTTAGCCCATATCCCTCAACCTTCTCTGTTCACGTGCCTGTTCATTAGGCCTTGAATAGACAGTGCTGTCGCAAGGGTTTCAAAAAGTGTAACAATCAGCATGTGAAATGTACTATCAATGCAGGTTTGATTTTGCTAAATTTGCTTTGAATATTTTAAGCACTCTAATATTTCAGGTTAACAGTAGTTACAGATCTCCCTACTCATCAGAATGGTTGGGAGCAGAATCAAAAGTGACAACTCAATGTTTGAAGCTGTGTGGAACAAAGAAATGAATGCAATTTCCCCTTCTCATGTGTTGGTACACTGAGCAGAGGATATTAAGTTTGGATATAAACTCAATCAACCTGCAGATCACTCAAACTTAAAGGAAAGATGCAGCATTTTATACCTCCTAATTCTGTAATAATTTAATACTCCTTCACAAAGTAACCTCGGTTAATGGAGAGCAAATATCTCTAGGCGTTGCAAGAGATGACACTTCTTTTATGCAAGCCTCCAATAGCCTTCAATGAAAGAAGGTTATGTGTCCACCTCCAACACCCAGTTGAAAAACAGTTTATTATTTTCTCTTAAACATGTATTGCTTAAAAAAAAAGCACTTTTCTAAAGCTATTTTACTGTCGTAACATTTCAAATCTCATGGACTATTTTGTACTGGCATTTGTAATATTGACTCCGATGCTAATTCCACTCACGAGCTTTAACTTCAGTCGCTTTACAAAATTATAGCCTTCCATGAATTTTTCCTTCTTTCTTCCAAAAAACTAGTGTTCCACTGGAAAAAGGAGCAAAACTTACTTTTACACTTTCAACTTTGAAAGGTAAGAGTCACAATGGACTCATAACATTAACTCTACTACTCTCTGCATAGAACTCCAGAACTTTGTTTTTAATTGCAAAAAATATAGACCATGTTAACTGAGGAGCAAACTCCTGGAGGTACTGCCTTTTGAAAAGCCTCTCCAGCCCACACAGATTCAAAATGCTCAAATAAATTTAGTAAAAACATAAAAGTCTGAAACTTGACAATCAGCCGTTCAGTTAGTTGGATTTTGTCAAGCTGGACAATATGAAAATTTTGTATCATACAAGCTTGTGCACTAGTAACAATTAGACTAATTTTGCATGGTGAAACTAGTACCTGTAACAGCCAATACATTTCGAACAGCTTTAAAATTGCAGCATAGAATTTCATTGTTGCTGAATCAAAGTGTCATACCTACTATATAAATTAATTGATTAGCTTAATGCCCATTTTATTGCCAGCCAAGAAAATCAAACAACAGCTTTTTTCAAAACCTATTACTGAGTTCACCACATTAGTCAGGAAATTCCCAAACAATGAAGTCGCGAATAAATTACTGCAGTTCACAGCATTGTGCAAAAAGGAAAATCAGTAGATTGACATACAATCAAAATTTGATACCCAAATTTATTACCCCTAGAGGTTGACGTTCAAAGTACAGAAGACTGCAGCTAAATGCCCCTAGTCAAAGAAAGACTGACAGAAATACCGACTACTCTCCCTTTGCACCTACTTTGCTCCTCACGAAGACATGATTATTTTCATATCAAAAGAATTTATTCAAATGCATGTTTTCTACAAAAAATCCGAATAATATTCAATAGACACAGAGCAGATCAATTGTTAACACACCCACATGACATCTGTGTTTCTAAAGCTTTGCAGTATAGACAGTAATCAAAATCTTATTCTTTTGCTGATTCATGTTTCGAAATTGTTTATCGGCCTGTGATAATTTTTTGTAGCAGCAACTGGGACTTAATTGTCTTTGAAAAACAAAGATCAAGAACAAATATAATTCAGGTTATTAAAAGCCAGAGTTGAGGAACGACTGAAAGTGTTTGAATCCAATCAACCAATATAAATGATGAAGAGAATTTCAAAATCATAAGACATGTAAACGTAAAACAGAAAAAAATCCATGGCAGCATCTGAGGTTGTCACCCAATTTAGCAAATCCTATTTTACATCAATTGTTTCCCAAAGGTTGGCTGAAAATCAGTTTCAGGAGCAGGATCACAATTGGTGGGATTTTCAGGCAGGCATGGGCATATGTTTTTTCAAAAACAAAGTGGCTATTAATGTTTCCATTTAAGAAAGGTGTTTCAAGTCCCCAACACTAATTTCTGTTCTAACCCTCTCTACCCGATGAAGGGTCCTGACTCACAATGTCGACTTTCCTGCTCCTCTGATGCTACAAGACCTATTGTGTTCCTCCAGCTCCACACTGTATTGACTGACTCCAGCTTCTGCAGTTCTTGCTATATCCAAATCAACAAGCTATTCACAATTAAATAGATATTTGAAAAATAAAATGTTTGAAGCATACAGGGATTAAGCAAGAAAGTCAAAATTCAGCCATTCATTGCTCTCCTTGTGAGCTTCCCATATTCCAAACTTCATGAACTTGGATGAATCCAAAAACTCTTCTGCCATACTGTAACTTGCATTATTCCATTTACCTACAACCTTTGTGCTTGCTGATTGGCTACTGGACCAACTACATCTTTCCAGGCCACAAGATCACTCTTCATTCTTCCTGTAACCTCCTTCAAACTTAAACCCCAAGATGACTCAGCATTCCTCCAATCGTGGCCTTGCACAGCCTCCATTTCCTTTAAAAACAAAGTACTGCAGATACTGAAGATCCGAAATAAGATCACAGTGCTGAAAGCAGGTCTGACATCAGCGAAGAGAGAAACAGAGTTCACAACAATTCTGAACAAGACATACTGGACTCAAAATATTAACTTTGTTTCTGTTTCCATAGGTGCTGCCAGATCTGTTGAGTTTCTCCAGCATTTTGATTTCACTACTGTTCCACTGTTGTGATTTCGGTTTTCTGTAATCCAGGCACCGATGTTCTGCATTTTCTTTCCCTAAATCTCCCATTACTTTCTGATCCCTTTTAGAAATACCCTCAAAACTACCCTTTGGTCTCCTAATATCACTACATTTACTCCATGTCAATTTTGGTCTGATTATACAGAACCTTGAATGTAGAGAAATATCTGAGGAGCTTATTGTAGTTTGTTTACAAGAAAGATTAGACAGGCAGTCTTGATGCATCAGATGATCAGTTTTCATACTGTGACCTACAATGACCCTATGCAAGCAGAAAATGTCGTTGGTCCTTTAACTTATTGCTACATACAATCGTAGAATCATACAATACAGGACAGCGCTTCGCTGAGGGGTGACTGGATTTTATTTACTTCGGTCTTGACAAGGTGGATATGGAAAGGATGTTTCCTCCTGTGAGTCAGTCCAGAACTAGGGGACACTAAAATTAGGGGCTCCCTTTGCAGTACAGAAATAAAGAGGTTTTTTTTGTATTTGCCACATTTCATCTCATTTCTTGGAATAATAAACTGAAATGGAAGACGCAGTGCGTTAACTGGAATACCAAAAAGCTCTCGTATTTGGAAGTCAAATGTGGCATATTGTAGAGCTATCCCAAGCAGTGTTGCTTTTTTGGAAGCAATAAGAAGGAATGCAAGACTGAGCAGCACTGAGAATCTTTTCAGTTAATGGAATTCTGTGTAACAGCCAATGATTGGTTGAGCTGCAGTGTGTTAAAAAGCTTTAAGTGGTAACAGCAGCAGAGACTGAAAAACATCTACAGCCTGCTAACAGAAAACAACCATTTTTCCTTCTATTTTCGCATGTGGGGGAAAAAGACAGAAAACCCAAGTAAAGTTCAGAGAAAGAACTAGTACAAGAGAAGACACAAGCTTATCTCATCAACAATCAAATCAAAGGTCAACCATAACCATATACATAACAGCATATCACCACTGCTAAAATCAGAAGGACCAAGAGGAAAATAACTTTGCACAACATGGTATAGACTTTTCATGTTCACAATTTTGCTTACCTTATATATATTCTTTTTCCACCTATAGTATATGTGTTAAACTGTTTGTCTGTTATCCATCTTAATTGTGATTAAATGTGCGTGTACATTGGGTTCTGACACAGGGTTTATATTGGGTGAATTAGAAATTTATTCTTTTCACTGCTCTTGTTTTCAGTAAGTGTGTTTCAATAAGTGGAGTTATTTTTGTTGCTACTCAAAACACCTGATGTGAATTGCTTTTGTCCGGAGTAGCAGTCAGTGAGGCAAATTAGTAAACTTGGTAGTTTCAATGAAAGTTTCTATATTAATGCTTGCTGTGATGGTTTTTGGAACATTATTTGCACATTCGGCCCAGATAAATTGTGACAAAGAGCTCTGCAACTTAAAAACTCTGTCTAAGATGGCAGTACAGGTGAGGTCATGAAATATTTTCAACGCAGTGGTAGATATGTTCTTTTTAGGCAAGAGAATCAAAGGCTTTATAAGAATGTGTCAGATCTGAAAAACAAATAAATCAACTATCATCATGGGAGGTTAAGCAGGCTCAAAGGGGTGCATTGTCTACTTCTGCTCCTCTTTTACAAGTCATTTTTAAAAACCTAAAATTTCCATCTAAAGCTTCGACAAAATATACATACTTCGTTATTTTAGTGAAGTCTTCAGTAATCCGACTACCCACTTTGAGCTTAAATCCCACCCAAATAGGAGCACACTAGCATATGAACAAAAACAACGTTGGGCCACACAGCCCTTTGAGCTGATACGCCATTCAATAAGATCTGATTGTAACGGCAAACCTACATTTATGCACATCTCCAATAACCTTTCAACACCTTGGTAGTCAACGATCTATCCACCTCTGCCTTAAAAATATTTAAAGATTATGCATCCACTGTCTCTTGATTGATCAACATCCACAAGGTTACCTGATCATTTGTAAACTGGGGGTGTACTACTTGATTTGACCAATTCTCTCATCACAAGGCTTGCAGCTAACTTTTGTGATATTGTAGATATTAGGAAATACTGCACCTTATCAGTGATCCGCTCCGACTCATCACCTGTTGGGTGGATAATACCAATCTCTCCCACAGTAAGTGCCGTGTCTGTGGTGGAGGATGACCTTGGTCTATACTGATGCTGCTGCAAAATTGCAGTTAGTGAACTGTCCTGAGGTGCCTTACGGACAAGATGTGGACTCCCTTTCTGGGCATCAGTTGGTCCACTTTTTGACTTTCTGCTACTGCTGTGGAGGCTGGCTCCTCTTTTGATGGATGGCCTTGACCGAATCTGTTGCAAGACTCTGTTGAAGGCTGTGGGACGAGCAGGAAGATCGTGGAGGGACATGGCATAAGAGACACGATGCATCTCAGGAGATCGTTCCTTTTCATCTGCAGAATCATGATCAGAATGTCCATGAGGATGGTGGTAAAGTTGAGAAGATTCTTGTATACTCTGATCACGCTCCCGAGACCGCTTTCGGTGATGGAAAAGTTGCTTCAGACCATGTCCAAACATGCCACCGGAACCACCTCCTTCAGACAGCTGCTGAATTTTCTTTAAAATATAGAGAATAAAAATATTAAATCCTACTCATACTCTTTGACATTTGGTTCCACACTACCCTACCTTACCTTATCCCCACCCCCAAAACACTATACTTCATTCTTCAACACTAACCATGAACTAAGTCTGTTCCCAGACTTATGATCACACCAATCTATTAATGTTCTGTTCATGGAAACAGAAGAAAATCAAACAGCATACTCTAGCTAAAATAGTGAACACAGGCTTTTTGAAATTCTATTGTAAACAATTTACTTTCCTTGTCTATTTTCCTTAGAATCCCTGCACTGTGGAAACAGGCCATTCAGCCCAACAAGTCCAGACCAACCCTCTGAAGTGCATCCCACCCAGACCCACCCTCTACCTTATCCCTGTAACCCTGCATTTCCAATGGCTAATGCACCTAACCTACACATCCCTGAACATCCTCAGGTAATTTACCATGGCCAATCCACCTAACTTGCCCATCTTTGGTCTATGAGAGTAAAGTCGAGTACCCAGTGGAAATCCATGCAGACACGGGGTGGGGGAGCGGATTATACTGGGATATGGAAGCAATCATTCAATTTATTGCAGTACAATCTTTGAGGCTGTTTTGACAATGATCAGTTATAGAACTGGGATACAGACAATGCCCCGCAGAAAAGAAATCCTGACTGAGGAAGGTTGTGGTTGAAGCTTGGGACAATTTATGGTACGGAGAAGAGAAGAGAGTATAAAAAAAATGTTCAAAATAAACTGCCACATTTTCCACAAGTTTTGACACTTTGTTCACACAGTTCCACAACAGCCTTCGAGTATCATGCTGAAATAGTTCATTTTCAGATGCCAACTTGGGCAGGGAGCAGCAAGTTTCATGATTCTTGCAGTTGTGATCTACTCCCTTTTGCTGAATAGTATATCAACCAAGTCCAATCAGGTCCTCAACTGAGCACCGCACATAGACACTTTTCAACAGGAGTAACCAGAGCAGGAACTCTGTCATTTTGTTTTTTTGCTCATTTCCTAGCCTAAGTATATTGAAACCGACTGCTTCATTTGCTACATTGGATGAAATCCCTACTTATTGTCACAACTTATTTTTCTCGTAATGTTAAGCGCAAAGACAATGTTAACATCTTTCCACTGCTTCAGAGTAATTATGAACTCGTACTCAGACAAGTGTTCCAACTAGATCAGGCTTTCAAGTGCATTTTATCAGCATAGACGTGAATGCATAACTGCTGACAATGTTTTTAAAATTCTTCAATGGGATGAAGGTGTCACTGGCTAGGTAGCATTTATTGCCCATCCCTAATTGCCCAGAGGGCGGTTCAGAGTCAACCACATCGCTGTGGGTCTGGAGTCACATGTAGGCCAGACCAGGTAAGGATGGCAGTTTCCTTCCCTAAAGGACATTAGTGAACCAGATGGGTTTTTCCCAAACAATCGATTCACAGTCATCGTTAGACTCTTAAGTCCAGACATTTTTATTGAATTCAAATTCCACCATCTGCCATGGTGGGATTTGAACCCAGGTTCTCCGGAACATCATCTGGGTCTCTGGATAAACGGTCCAGCGATAATACCACAAGGCCATTGCCTCCCCACTGCGAAATACGACAGACATGATTGGATAACAGTCAACATCTCATTTGTAATTTGGGTTCAGGTTGAATTCTATTTATGAATATGCATGAGGTACAAATATATCCTGTGATTTATTGCAGAACTTTGTTTGGCATTGAACTCAGACTTTCATCAAAACAAACTAGTTACAAAACATAGACTGTGCTTTGACTAACTGCTGTTATAATTATTGACAGAGATACTGGGAGTGTGCCAGTTTAGCAACTTGGTTTATACAAAGTGAAGATTAATTTCTTCAAAATAAAATCATTTCCTTCTGCAGCAGTATAGCTGGTGAAGTTTCAGGTCCATTGCCTCATCTGTACTCAACAGGATTAAAATAGGTTGGACACTTCATTGAACATCTGCAAGTTTACATTTGGAAAGAATGGCACGGAGGGAAATCGCAGAAATATATCAAACGTACTAAAGTGATGCCTTCACCCATGATCATAGAATAGCAGTTATAGCTATCCTTCACAAGTGGGAACGCAGATCAAAAAGAGTTAATGATGTACGCAGACACAGAATGACAATGAGGATTCTCAGTTCTGATTAAAGGGCTTTGACTTAAAATGTTAAGTCCTTAACCCTCCACAGATACTGCCTGATCTGCTTAGTATTTTCAAGATTTTCTACATTAATAACAATGGGAATTTAATTGCCTGCCTGACAATTCTGAAATACATTTTACACTGGAGCTTTATTGTTGTATAAACCTAAACAGTGATTTGACTGGATTGCAGTCTATTCTGACTTCTTTTTGCAAACCACTCTCAGTCATAAATGGCAGAAGTTGACACAATTAAAATGAAATTCTCTCTGGTAAACCATCAATTTGGTGCATCACTATCTACTGGGTGGCTCAACTCGTGTTCTCACTGAAGATGTCCTTGACCAACAACCTCAGTTTTCTAATAATTATATCCCATTACTTGAGAGGTTGAAATGCCTCCAAACTCGTTTCTGCAGTGTAGCTATTACAAGTTGAACAAATATATCCTGTCTCAACAACTCAGAATTCCTTTATAACCACTTTTAGCATAATATAAACAAGGTCACTCGATCAAATCCATTGTTTATGATAAAGTAAACTGACTAACTCTGTTCTGCAAGATAAAACAATGATTGAAATACACAACACTCAGCCTTCAGCTAATTCCCCTCTATGATGTATTTTACTGTGTAACAGCCTGGCACATTTGCTGAAGAAAATATAACTCATAACATAAGGTAGAAAAAAAAACTGGGAGTACTTCTTTTGCTCTTCTTAGAAGAAAAATCCAATCACCCAGCAATATCACATTCACCCGTGAGGATAAGCTATAAATTAATACACAAGCCAAATCAACTGAAGTATCAAACAGATTGAGGACATATACTGGTGTACTACAACTCTCAGGCTAAATGAGAAACAAGTTAGCATTATAAAATAAAACAAAGAAGTGCAGATGCTGGGAATTTGAAACTAAAACAGAAATTGCTGGAGAAACTCGGCAGGTCTGGCAACATCTGTGGCAGAAAGCAGAGTTAACGATTTGAGTCTCTGGACAGATGCTGCCGAAACAAGCCAAGACGATGGGTATTTTTAAGTCAAGCAGTTAAACCAACTTGGATGGAGAAGAATGGGACACAACATGCTGAAAAATAACAGGAGCGCTATCTCTCCCATAACCAACCATATCACGAGTGGTTAAAATCAACTTGAACATAAAATATTAAGATGTTTTTATTCATGACATTTCCCAGACCTATTGCTCCTGCCAATCTTTTACATACTGTGAGGCCTGAGAGTTCAGCAAACTGAGGGGAATAAAACCTTGGCCCATTATTCCCCGCCTGACTACATCTTCCACAACTTGTCTTGGCAAACCTATGAAAGTGGTAATGCAGTGCTCATCACCATACCGCATCTTGGCCCACTCTTCTATTCTTCTGGCACATTCTCCTCCATTGAGCTTGTCACTTTGTTCCACATTCTCACCTCTCTTCCAAAAGCCTCTTTTTGCGCCACCTTCCCAAGAACAATAAGAAATAATCATTGGGATATCTTCACTGCTTGCACCAAAAAGATCCTTATCCTTGATTTCAACCTCCATCACAAATTATCAGCTCTCTCTCCTCACTCATGACCCTCTTATCCTAAAATTTCTCCCTCTTTATAAACTCACCAACCAATATTCACCCAACCCTCTGGATCTTGCAATCTCGCTTCATCATGCTAGTTCTTTCATGTCAATTTCAGACAACATGCATTCTTATCACTTTCATATGTTAATCACCAGCCTATACCCTTTATGTATCAAACTCTTCTGTATCTATCACTGGGAATTATGAACACCCAATTCACCTACACGGTAGCCCTGATCTCCAATCCCTCAAGTCCAAGGAAAACTGACTTGATAGGAAATGGCAAAAAAATGGTTTAGACTGCCAGATCATGTCAGACCACAGGGGCCCTTGCTACTCATAGGATATGTTTCATAAAAATCTGACAAATAGTGAAAGAATGAAAATGGAGATTTATTTTCCATAAGAATTAATTAAATTAATTTTCGGCAACACACCAAAATAACGATTTAACTACAAAACAGCTGAACAAGTAACAAAAATTGATGGCTAATTAAATAAGGGATGTATACACAAAACAAGGAATATCAGAGCAAAGAATGATGTGGACTCACTGTACAGGTTTGGAACTCTCTTCCATAAATGACAGTGGATGCTGGATCACTTATTGTTAAAAATTCATCTATCTTAGTAAAAGGTATTAAGGGACACGGGCAATTCAATGGAGTTAGGCTACAGATCAGCCATGATCTCATTGAATGGTGGAACAGGCTTGAGGGGCTGAATGGCCTACTCCTATTCCTATGTACCAGAACAGATTTTATCAAAATCACTAATTTCATTCTATCAGAATATGAACAAGGCAAACTTTTGCCACTCATTCCTTCAGGAGCCTTTTTAAGAGACATTTCATGACACTCTTCTCCTCCAACACCTCTCCAATGGTAGCCCATTGAATGAGAATGCTCTCACCTGGTTCCATTCTTATCTAAGATAACTACCTGCACTATGTTTCTTTTCTTGCTCCCACACGGTTACCTCTGGGAACTGATCCTTGGCCCTCCCTTATTTCCGAAGTTATACTGTCCAAAAGCACAGCACCAATTTATACATGTAAGCTGACAACATGGAGCTCTGCCTCATCACGGACTATATTAAGTCAATTATAGTTCCCAAATTATCAGTCTGTTTATTCAACAAAAAGTACCAGATAAGCATAAATTTCCTCCAATAAAACATTACAAAAACTGAAGTCTTGTTTTCAGTTCCCGCTCCCAACTTTGTTCCCTGGCTATAGTCTGAGATTAAGTTGG